GGTCAGCACTCTCACCCAGTCTCTATACCCTATGTTAAGACCCATTATTTCAACTCTCGACCTCAGATTATTATACTAAGACATGCCTCTGGTCTCCTCCATCCACAGGGATTCCCTTAATGTTTAACTGATCCCAATATAGCTGTTTAAAATCTTGACTTTGTTTGTTACTATTGTACAGTACTGCCTACATTATGCTGTACTACCTTATGTGATATTATAGCTGTCTAAAAGCTTGGCTATGTAATATGATACTGTTCGGTACTGCATAAGTTATTTGTATCACCTTTTGTGATATATTGTTCCACTTTTTAACATTTGGTCATTCATGCTTAAATATTTCTCATATATTTGTGCTATATTGTGCTTCTATATCAATTAACTTTGAATGGAAAAAAAAAGTTAAAAACACTCAAATCATAGCACAGCTGAGTAGATACATTGTTTAGAATCAGCCACCTTATTTCTGCCTCCATTCACTGTAAAATAAATACCCATATATTTACCACCAGATTGTTAAAGCAGCTTTGTCACTTTCATGGTCTTTCCATTTTTATCACAAAGATAGAGCAGAGGTACTGCTCTGTGGATATGCGTATGGATATCCATTGGCAATTTTACTGTTCCAGTACTCCAAGAAATCCCAGGTAGGGATCATACCACCAACGCCTATCCATAGAGCAGTAACTCTGCTCTATCTTTGTGAGTATTATTTTATCTTTTATTTTACTCTTGTATCCCATCACAATTGAGAGCACTATTGCTGCTTTTTATCCTTCTCTCTTGGAGCCCCATAAGCGGGGATTATACCGCTGTACGCTATCCACACCAGAGCTGGCCATAGCTCCCTCAAATGTGAGTTCCTTTTCTATCTATTTGCACATTGAACCCCATCACAATTGAGAGCACTATTGTTGCTTTCTATTTCTCTTTCCGAGCTTTGGACTACCAGACGGTGTTGATGGAGACCCCTCCCCACATATCCCATAAGCGGGGATTATTCAGCTGTACGCCATTCACACCAGAGCTGGCCATAGCTCTCCTGAATGTGAGTTCTCTACTTTTGTTATCTACCGCACCTTGAATTTTACATACTCACCATTGGTCGCCTCTACCTCTCTTGTATTTTCATATACTGAACGGTCAACACCAGACGCACCTACCTCTACCAAGAAACCCTATCCAGTATCCCCGACGATCCACTGGTATCCTAGTAATATTTTACTAGACTTTTTGGCGCAGCCCTCATACATCTCTTTCTAAACCAAGATATACCTACCCGAATTTCCTACCCTTGTGAGCTACTCCATCTTTTTCTTGCTCCCAGCAATGTATCTGCCAGGAAAAGGCATCACCCTTGTGTCCTCGTCCATGTTCAAATTGCTTGTGTTTAAATCTCATTAGGTATATCCCCAAAGATCTAAATCTGGGGATATAGTACCTCTTCCTATGAACTCTCTCCTGTTTATATTGCTTTTGAATTACTTGGTTACTAAAGCAATGCTATATCATCATTTGCTGCGTGACAGACTGGAAAAAAGGCAATAACAGTGGTCAGCACCCATGTTAGGTGCAAACCACTGTAGGGTCAATGCCCACTGGACAACCAGGGAACTTATGTCTACTTCAATACAAAGGTAAGTGAAGAGGGGTAAGGAACAAAAAAAAATTATACAGCATATGTTTTAAAAAAAATAGTAGGGAGGCAGAAATCAAACAGGCTATCCACACAGAAATGTATTACAATTTTTTTCAGATATTCAGGGATAGTTCTCCTGCAAAGGGTGTGAAAAATGGGAATCGTGCACAGAGTGCAAAAGAAGATTCATTCCTCATTCTTCAAGAACATTTTCTGAAAAACTTGATGGACCATTGTTTGTTAAACTAATGACTGTCTTGAGAATAGGAGCCAGACTTTTATGCGATAGTTTAACTTGTTTAAGATGATTCAAAGGAACATTCTGGACACAAAACGAAAATAGGATAGATTTCAATAGGTTTCGGGCTTGTACAGTGGTGTAATTTGGTTTTGTGCTATCCTTGAGATGACTAAACTTGGGCAACCCCCTAATCTGAATTTGCACCACTCATTCTTGTCAAAGCCACACCTTTTCCTGTTTAAAGCCTGTACTTTTGTAAACTCCACCCCTTCCTCTTTAGGTTTCACCTCTTCCGGCCTCATCTTTTTACGTGCACACACTTTTACTGACCCATACAGCCACTCATTGGCACACACACTGTATAAACAAGTAACTCTTTCACTAACATACACACACCTTCACTGATACACATACTGTCCGTGTATGTGTATCAGTGAAGGTGTGTGTATGTTAGTGAAAGAGTTACTTGTTACATTTACTGACCGACACACAGTCTTTGGCTCACACACTGATTAACCAATGCATACTTTTACTGACTGACACACTGACACATCCACTTGCTGCAGACACATACTCTTTAGATACACAAACACTCACTGACATACACACACTCTCTAACAGACACACACTCACTGACGGATGCACCTTCACTGACAGACACACCCTCACTTATTTGACACACTCACAGACACACACACTCACTGACAGGCACACACTCACTGGCAGACACACACTCATTCACTGACAGACACATAAACACTGACGCACGCACTGCCACACTGCCAGGCACACACACCCTGACAGACACACACTCACTGGCGTACACTCACAGGCAGACACACTGACATACACACTCTCACTGACAGATGCACACTGACAGTCTCAAACACACTCCATTACAAACACACACACATCACTGACAGAGACTCTTACTGATTTGACACACACTGGCAGGAACTCACTGACAGACACACACTGACACACATTCACCGACACACACACTAATAGACACAGACAGTGATAGACACAGACACAAACAGATACACAATCACTGACAGACACATACACATTCACTCACACATTATTTTATATTTGTTTAATTTAAGGCCATACAGCCTCACTACCTTTGGGAGAACTAGAGTGGATTATTTTCCTGGGGTCCAGTGTGACTGCTGTAACTGATTGTCATCATCTTGCTCTGTACTACCATGCCATTTATGGATGCTGGGGCTGCAGTGATGTCATATTCCGGCCCCCGGCATCACTGCAGAGCGCGTAAAGGAGCAGAGCTCCCTCGCCGCCCATCTACATTACACACAGCCACTCGCCTCTATAAGTCCCTGAGATGGCCAGCAGGTCAGCTCTTGGGCCTCCCATGACAGGCAAATAGCAAAGAGGCCCAGTTGCACTCACATTTGAGAAGGCATTTGAGAAGGCATTTGAGGAAGGTGCTTTTTGCCGCCCCCTGTAAAGTGCCGCCCAAGGAAAATGCCTCATTAATCTTCTGATAGATACTGTGCTGGCCTTATGTTGCGTTTTTCTCCCTCTTCAAATCTCATTAGTTTTGCTAAAACAGAAAAAAAGGTACACTGAGTATATATTGGTGATCAGTTTGAGAAGAGCTGTTGACTTGCCCCCACAGCCAATCACTGTCCTATTATTATCTGTGTAGTATTTCAAAGTTATCTAAAGATGGCTAAATGTACAAGATTATGCTGCCAAAGCTGCAAAAAAAATAATTATTTTGAGATTTGACTATTAAAA